GCTTAATTTAAGGAGAAATTTAATGATTAAAAAACAGATTAATAGTCTCTTATTGTATCTGCACTTAAATTCCGCAGTGAAATGTTTGGCTTTACACTCACATCCCTTATTATTTCAGTGTTTCTGCTCTTGCAATTAAACCCATTTTAAGGACCAACTAAAATAGGGACAAATGTGAAATTAACAGTACATAGAGTGCTGTGAAATGCATAAAGTAAACTAAATGAAGGTGATGGTGGGGAACCCTGTCACTTCTTCCAGTCACATTAGTCTCAAGTGTAACCTATAATAATACTAGAAAAAAATACACTTTAAAAGTTTTTTTTTAAATAGTGCTCAATAATAACAAGAACATCAACAAATATTCTGATCTAAATACTGATTTAAAACATTTTATGCATACACACACACACACACACACACACGCACACACACACACACACACACACACAGTTAAGAAAAAAATAATTTTGGATTGCAAGACCAGGCCCTAAAACAAAATAATGTATCTAAGCTTGTCCTTGAAATTCGGAAAGAATTATCTTATGCAGCTGTCATGTATATCAACACCTATTAATTGTGCCTGTTTACACTTAAAGCCTATATGCCTTTTTGCAGCCACATGGGTTATCAGGCAAACCACAGAATTTAAACATTTTTTCCAGAATAAACTAAAGTAATTTGTACCCACCCAGCAGCTTCCAGAAATTATGTTCAAGCACATATGCATTGAAACTTACTACAAAAGAAAACCTTTTTGCTCTGATCTTGGGACTCAACCACCACCTAAAACCCTTATTTTATAAAACTATGAACTTTTTAAACAGCTTCACTTAAACATATGCAATGTCACAAGAAGGTTATGTCATTGCACTTTCACTATACTCAATTTTGTCCTTTGAGAAGGACATGCAGCTCCTACTAAAGGTTAATAGGGACTAGTCATGCAAAAATCTGTGGAAGAGCTCATAGCAAGGGAGGGATATTCTATTATGACTTCCACATCAGTTGATATAAACTGTGGATTGGTAGCTCTCAACTTTTTGAGATTCAAGGCACCCCTTAAAAATGCCAGCTCTTAGTTTTCACTTGTTTTTTCACCTCAGAAAAATAGAGCAATCTTCCTGTTGTAAAGAACTCAGAAAGACAGTAAGTAGGTCAGAGTATTTTTAATACTATGGATTCCTATTGGCAATCTCTGGGTATATACTGTGAATTGTGTTTGCACACCCAACAGTGCTAACATTGCTTAGCACTCCTTGGCACTGTTGAAAGAATCTCAAACCATCCCAGGGTGGTGTGGCACCCTGGGTGAGAATCACTGGTGTAGATGCTAATATTAACCAAATCCACTAACCTACAACTTAACTGAAGTCAACGAAGTTCCACCAGCCTGAATTTGGCTTACTATGTTTCTTTTACAAAAAAAAAAATAGATTCATGAAATTTAGTTGAGGTCAAATTTAAAAGAAGAGTAGTTAGCCTTTTACATTTTCCAGAAAAGAATGAAAAACATGGTCATTAAACTTTAAGATGTTAGCTATATAGGCAGAAAGATGCAAGCAAAAATGGAAAAGGACTTAAATGTAAATATTTACAAACATACCCTATTTGCATTACACACACACAAATCACTCAGACTTGTTTCCACCCAGGTACCACATTTTAGAAACATAGTAACAAACTGAAGGTATTTCACAAAAGATCAATCACAGTGATTAGAATACTGAAATGAAAGACTTAGAAGGAAAGGTTAAAAGCTCACTACTTCAAGTACTCCATGCACAGAATCTCCACTGACTTAAATAGATATGTGCACAGAAGTACTGGACTGTAAATTAAAATTTTAAATATAAACAGCTTAGCGGAGCAGTGACTGAACATAGAGGATAGCTGTAGTCCACAAATAATTGAGGGGTGTTAAGATCAGAAGAGAAATTATTATTACACGTAAATAACACTTGGTATAATGAATACAATTAGTAAAAAGAACTAGGACTAAGTATAAGAAAAGTCTTTTCAGTGACTTTTCCTAGGCTTGAAATAAATAAAGCAAACAGGGTAAAATTCTTAATCATTTAGAAAGTTGATATTTTGAGCAAACAAGGCCCTAAAAATGGTTTTGTAGAGAGCAAGCCTGCACTGGTAGGGTTCTGGCCTAAATGACATGTATTTTTTCACATCATTAATATGTACAATTCAACAATACATACTAGCAAAAAGGTTGCAGGGTAGCTGTTTGCCCACCATGCCACTGTGTGTGTGCATGTTGCATTAGAAGACATGCTAGTTATGAAATAGGATACGCTAATATTTTTCATGACAGATTCATAAAATGATTTCAAACCTTTTATCACATGAGCAATCCTTCTGACTTCATTGGGGCTACTCACATGATTAATAAATAACTGAATGAGTAGAACTTTAGAAAATGAAGCTAGACACTACTGTAAAAGTATTAAATGTATTCTCACATAATATTTCTGGTTTAAGCTTTGTGACTGCCTTAGTCACTTTCCTATAACTTAGCCAGGTATCATAATGTATTCTGTATTAAACTATAATAAGATAGTGCTTTCTTCTGATTATATTAAACCTTTTTGAGCAGAAAATGTTACTGTTCACCAAACGAAGGGAGAAAGCATGAAAACACTATGCTTATGCAAGATTTCACAAGGGAGAAAAAGTAAATGAAAGAGAGAAAACTAATTTATTTATTGTCTTAAGCGTGATGCTGTGTGAATCACTGATAAATTAGTACATTAAGATATGTATCTGAGAAATAGCCAAAATAATTGAAGTTCAGAGTTTAACACTATGAGGCACAAGCTTTTGTGCACTGCATATCAGCAGACATCTTAAAATCTATAAAAAATTGATGGCATGTATATTAATACAACATCTGCAAACATTTACATTTCAAATGCTTCCCTCTTTGCAGAGACCAACTAACTCATTTTAGCTTATTGAATGTCCACATCTTGTAAGTGACACAAAAGACAAATTGACTTCCAAATTTTCCACAAATTTATTAGATTATCTTTTGCTCTTCTATGAATATTTTCCATTATGTAAATAAATAAACATGATTTATTTTACTACCTAATTCCTCTCCATAGTGATAGTTTAACACTTCCTGCAGTTACTCAAGTATAAGAATACCCCTGTTTCAAGTAGATTTATTTTATTAATAAAATTGCTGTCCTTTGGACATTTGGTTTTCCATGTCAGAAACGAAAAGAGAACAAAGTGTAAGAAAAGTATGATTAGAAGTTGTTTCCTCCCTTCATTTATAAGGTTAAGTAATGGGTTTGTAAAGAGCAATTTCATGACTTAAAGAAGGTTCAAAGACAGGGGTAGAGGGCAAAGAGACTGACTGCAATCAGATTTGATAAGGATTTCAATAATTCAAACTCAGAAAAAATAGCTGCAAGGAAGGAGCAGCTTCACTTTCAGCACAAAGTAGGAAATGTAAGAAATTAAAACCAAGTAGCCTTTCTTTTATATTAACAATAAAACCTCTATTTGATTTCACAGTTTATACCTCATTCCACATGTAAACAGATAATACTGATGACTAGGCTCTGGAGGCAGCGGTGGAAATAACACAACAAGGTCAAAAATCTACTCAAACACCACCACAAGGGGCAAGGCAACGTGCCAGCAAGGCATTGTTCCCTAGGTTTCAGTTACCTCTTATCAGCTTCATCATAAGTATATTCCTTGAATGTGAATCGTGAAATTAGCCCAAATGTACAACTAGATGTGAACAAAACTAGGCCATCCAGACAGAAACAGAACAATAAAGCCTTGTATAATCATAAAACAAAACCTCCCCTCGTTTCTCTGAAAACGTCATATAAAATGGACATGAAAATGCCTTTATCTTTCCTGACATGGCCAGAGCTGAACCCCAAAAGGGTCTCTGTTACTTTGTAAATCTTCCTCTTTAGTTCTTTGAACAACAGCTCAACACTTTTAAGCAGATTAGTGAAATTCAAGACACTGTTGCAGTTTTGGATTAATACAAGCATGGGGAAGGTCCACACACTCTTTTCTTACAAACCGTGGGGAAAGTTCTCTGACCCTCCTGATGAACATTCATTGCACCTGAAACACCTTCCAAGAAAGGCAGGAAGGTGAGGCAGACACTCAAAAATAAGCATGTAAGCAACAGTCAGGTGTTTAAAGATATAAACAATGACCACATGCTTTCTGAATAGTGGCCTTAAAGAGATAGCGCCTTTCGTGTTCTCTCTCTCTCTCCTGCACACATTTTCCAGAAGAGAAACATTAAAAACAAAACAAGAAAACCCCAATACCCAGTGTTGAGTCAGATCTTAATTACCCCATGCTTGTTTTCACATGTACAAGATAAAACTCTTAAATCGCATGTTTATTTGCACAAAAATAATCTGAGACAAACGAGAAAAAATAAAATATCTCAAATGAATTGTAAAGGAAGAAGGCTGCTAAAATGATTTTGAATCTGATGTTCTAAGGGATGTATGTATCCTATTGAATCTGATCTAAGGCATTTATGTATCTTATTCTGTCTGTTTTCTTCCTTGACCTTTGCAGGAAAAGGACCTAGGAAGCTCCCGAGCAGATGATAAAGCTGAACACTATTAAAATGGGACATGTGATTAGAAAGAGAAGGAGAAGCAGCAGCCAGAGAGAAGAGGGCTCCAGCCGAGGAGTAAACTGTTAAGAGCCACAATGTCCTTCAGCAAAACCCTCCAGGCCAGAGGAGGCAGGTCGCCACCCGCCCGCCACAGATGCTCTGCTCTGAAGTTTTGAATGGGGACGTGCAATCAGCAGCTCGGATCGGGCAGGCTGTAATGCCTGCATCTATTTATTGGTAACAATGACCTCTGTAGCACAATCACTCTAGCAGGAGAGCTCGTCTCCCTCGTCCCCGGGAAGCCAGAGGGCCGCTAATAACGGAGCCTGAGGTGAGGGGGACCGGGTAGAAAATGGGAGACAACAGTGAGCCTTACTTGGTGTACAAAGACATCCACCGGCGACTCCAAAGGGCTGCCCTCCCGACTGATCATGGAGATGAACCCGAATCCCATGCGCACGTTGAACCATTTGCAATGGCCTGTCCCACGCCAAACCTGGGAGTCCTCCTCCTCTTCTTGCTCCGGCAGCTTCCCGGGCTCGTCTCCACCTTTACTCGCCCCTGCTGAGGACGAAAACAAAGAAAAAGGGGGGAAAAATCAGAACACGAGATGTCCGGCAAAGAGCGCCTATCCCGGTGCGGGTGCTGCGGAGCGGAGCACGCCCGCACTAGGCGATCACCGCCTTTCCACCGGGGCAGAAACCCCCCAAACCCTGCGGGGCAACAGGGGGAAAGGCAGCCGTATGATCTTGCTCTCTCCCTTTTCCCTCTCTCTGCCGCACGGAGAAATCCACGTTTCTCAACAGACTTTTTTTTTTTTTTTTAATTTCACTCCATCTTCCAGCCACCCACGATACTTTACTTGAATATTGCTGGTTTAAAACCGATCCCATTTCCCAAGAGGACTAGCAGCCAAATTGCTCTCTCCTTGAAAGGCGAGGGGCCGGTGGGGAGGGGGGAGAGAAGAAGAGCACCAAAAAAAAAAAAAAAATTGGGTCGAGATTGCACAACAACTTGTTATTGCACATGCAGCGGGGGCTCCGCTGCTGTTTGCCAGCGTGCATCCATCCCTGCCCGGAATACAGTTTCGATTAAAGTTGGGGGGACAGGTGTACAGACGGTCCCTCATCCCGCCGCTGAAACTTGCGCTTAATCAAACAGGAACAATTCAAACAATAGCCCCCCTGAACGCTTTTCAAGTCGTGAATCGGGGTGGGCGGTGCGGAACAGTTTTGGAGAGCCGTAACAACAGGGTTGCAGAAAGCCCCCTTGCGCGAGCTGATCAAAAAGGGTAATGCATAGTTGGGTTAAGAAAAAAAAAGGGGGGTGGGCAGGAGGAGCGAGCAAGCGAGAGAGAAAATCATAGTAAAACAATAGAAAAAGAAAATTAACCTTCGGCCATGTTGCTCCACGGGCCCTCGGCTCCAAACTCGTGAGATGCAAACTTTCCCTTTGGATCGAAGTGGTCTTCTGCATCAATCTAACATCCTGATGTTGAACGATCACAAATTTAGCTCGCATGGTCTAATGTGCTTTCCCTCTTTTGATTTTTCCCCTTCTCGCTCCCTCCGTTCCTGGCCCCCTGCGCACACGTGACTTGGTCAATTACATGCTCGCTCGCTACTAATTTCACATCGGCTCCTTAAGGGGTTGGCAAGAGGCAGGAGTAGCCAATCGCCATTTCAACCAGGCTGACACACCGCAATAATTTATGAATGAACAAGAAATGGCAAACGCGGTGACTATCAGCTCATTTGCACACTTCTTTTACGGGAAATCAAGATGACGTGGGTTGAGGGGTTTCGCGGAGCGGGGGAATGGACAAATCTGCAGAGATCAGTGCACTTCCTATCACCCAAGTGCTATGTAACTCCTTGTACACCTCTCGAGAGTTGTACACGTGTCCGCACAACCAGGCGGCTGAGGTTATTACCATACATGTACAGGGGGGAGGATCCACGAACCTACGATCAGGATCAAGCATGCTCATGTGCACGCAATGTCAGGCATGGAGCATGTATGTACACATGCCCACCTAACTGCAAGTTACTTTGTACACACAATATTCACCACGCTAATGCCGCTACTTCCTTAACAAAAGCAGCTGAGCACATTTCAATAGCTAAGCACATTTCCATTATAACTGGCCCTTTGTTTTTCGTCTATTCTATTGATTTTTTCATATTGCTGGCCAAAATTTGACTTGTTCTCAGTGTTTCAGAGGGTAGTCACCTTTTTATGTTAACTTCCAGCAGAATAACTTTCCCAGGGAAACTTTAGATTCAGTGTCTCTACACACTCGATCTAAGCAAGCACGTAGATGGTCGCTGGGGTTCCTTCCTTTGTTTTACATGACTTAATTCCATATTCAAATTAAAAGCATGCCGGAAACGCGATCTCACCTTAATATGGTTCACAATGTGTTGAGGGTTTAGCATTTCAAAACATTTCTATGGGGGATGGGGTGAGGGATTGTACTTCACAGGTTTCTCCGCCATCTCTTTCCGGGGGAGGGGATGTGATTAATGACTTCCTAAATAAGAGCCCAGTTTCCAAGTCTAACATTAGAGTGAACCTCAATCAGCAGCGATTGTTACCCAGGAGCATGGTGGAGGAGGAGGAGGAAGGGCTAAAAGAGAAAAGGAGGAGAAGGAAGGGAGGAGGAAGATGAGAAGAGAGAGGGAGCTGGAAAAAGAAGACAAAGGGAAGGGGAATAGTGTTGGCCTGGAGGCTGCAATTTTAAATCTAGTGGGTGTGGGAGTCCAACACACAAGCTGACGCGGATATATATATATATATATATATCTATATATATACGGTTTTATATATCTATATATCTATAGACACATCACATACACACACTCCCACCCCATATGACCGTGTGTGTGTATATATATATCTATATGTATAGATATATATATATGACTCCCACACCTACTCTCACACTTATGTGTGAGTGTGTGTATGTGTGCATGTGTGTGTGTATGAGATGGGCTGGATAGCTTATACATCCCTTCATGAATTTCCTAGGGACTCAGGCACATTAGCATACACACGCGTACACGTACACGTCAGTTCCACAGCTCCACTACCCAATTAATACGTTTTAATAGGCTGGAGGAGGGGAGGGATAGCTTAAAAGTGCCTATTTTCTTCTTTTTCCTTCGGCGTGAAGGACGTGGACAAAATACCTTGTTTTGGGTAGATATGAACATGGGTCTTTTTCTCCACCCCGCCCCCTCCTTCACCAGACAGCCAATTCACAGAAACTCTGCATACACTACATATCCTCTGCCCATTTAAAATTTAGCTTAGACTAGATCAGTTTAGCCTTAGTTAAAATCTTCCGGCACTGCTATGAATTCTTTTCTTACTGAAGTTGCTTTACCCCTCCGCTCCGAGCCCATCCACGTCGAAAATACATGCATGGAAAAAAACAAACCAAAAAAACCAACTGACTGTGTGATCCACGCAGATCTTGGTGAAATGGGTTTTTATGGCATTGCAAGGCACTTGCTGTTGTTTTGGAAGTGGCGTCAATCAGTCTGCCCAATTGAGAAAACCCCCTTTGCTCTGATGGGCCTGTTTACGCCTTCTGTTGCTTTCCCCCCCCAGGGAAGTGCACGAATCGCTTTCAATCGCATTTCATTTCTGTTTGAAATACCAAGGTGTTCTGAACATTTGGTAGAAAGGAGCGGGGGTGGGCAAAAGTGTAAGAATACAAGCAATCTGGCAAGTGGAGCAGAAGCTCTAAATCCTGAAATTCCTTTGCAGTCTTCAACCGTAAATTTCCTATAGGTTATTTCAACAGTGGAGGTCGACTTCCTACATTGACCTCCCTTACACATTCGTGCAATAGACCACCACTTTTTTCCCCCTTTCCCCTCTGTTATGACTACGATTTTTTGTACTAGGCGAAATCAGTAGCCACATCACTTTATACACCTGAACGATTATAAGGAGAGATTTTTCATATATGAAGAATATATATTTAATTCAACTATAAACATAATAATAATCATAATAATAATAATAATTGTGACAGTAGTAGTAATAGTAATGATCATATTTGAAGAATATATATTTAATCCCACTATAAACATAGTAATAGTAGTAGTAGTAATGATTATATATGAGGAATATATATTTAATCCCACTATAAACATAGTAGTAGTAGTAATAGTTATAATGATTATGATAACCACAGCAATAATGCTACTACTAATTACAATCGTCTTCAGGACGGCTGAAGAGGAGAATATTTAGATTTTTGAAAACCAAATTAATTTGGGTAACAAAATATGGATATACAAATACCCCATGTCTCACATGTGATACCTTTATGAAAATTTAAGACATCTATACAGAGAACTGTCTTTTTAAATTTATTTATTTTTAACCAATATCTGACTCTCAGGTTTTATTTTTGTCAGACTGGATTCCTGTACCGAAATGCAGCTGAAAAATATCTTGCAGATCTTGCTCGCAAACAAGTAATTTTTTTCTTGGATACAGTGTCCTTTGTTTCCAGCAAGTTTGACATTTTTTTTTTTTTGAAATTCAATATTGTATAAGGTTTTTATGAGAACAGAGGGAGGAGAGTGTAAGTAGCAAAAGAAAAGGAGGGGAAAAAACGCTGAATGCAGATACCAGAGAGCTGTAAGCGATTTCCTACACTACAAAATAAATGCGGGTTGTGTTAAGGTACGTGCGCGGGGGGAGGGGAGCTTGCAAGCGGGCCTTGCTGAAATTTTCAGGCCTCCAGTATTAGTGGAATTAAGGTTGGGGTCACTGGACTGGTCACTGGTGTCAGATGTTATCGACTCATTCATTTCCTGCAAGGGAAAGGTCTTTCAAGTCCTGGGGAAGGTAGAGCTGTTGCCAGCTGGAACTTTAACCCCGCCCCCCCAAAAAAACCCGACCTTCCAAAATTCATTCAAAAAGAATCAGCCACAAATACCGGGGGAGGGGTGGGGGGGAATAAAAAAAATAAAATAAAAGGGAAAATAGAAGAACCAGGGCAGAGAAATGTGAGTATCACGATTATATTTCATGTGTGAAAAGAGATGCTGCTGCTCTTAGATTTATCCCCCCCAACACACAACCTAAAGTGTGTGTGGGGGGTCAATTATAGGACAGGAGCAGTCTTGGTAATGCCGATGGTACAAACAGCGCCTTGCTCTGCTTTTCCAGTCCTCACCTTCCCCCCAAAGCTTCCCGCGTTATAATTCTTTTTTTCCCCCCCTCTCCTATTTTTCCGATTTTCCTTTTTAAAAAAACAGCTCCCCGCAGCTCCCGCTGCAGCGGTGCGGTACGTGAGGAGGCAGCCGCAGTCTGCGCGCTCTGTGGCGGGGCGGGAGGAGCAGGAGCGCGGGCGGCCCGGCGGAAGATGTGCGGGGGGGTTGGTCCCATAGAAAGGTCGCGCTGGCGCGGGGGTCGCGGTGATCAGCGGCGTTCGTGGGATTTCTGAGCACCCGGCACCGCCGCGGTGTTTGGGGCACTAACACCAGAGGCGATTGCCTCAGTTCTTCTGCAAGATGCTGCGGCGGGGGGCAGTGCTACCGCCCCTGGGCAAATCCACCCACTCATCCACTCTCCTGCCCCCGGGGCCGCGCGCGCAACCCACCCTGCCCTCTCCGGACCGGCGAGACGCGCCGGCGCCCTGGGCCCCACCCCAGCCCCGC